CTTTGCCATAACCCTGGAAGGCAAGAACTAGTACGGTAATCTAGCCTGCAGACAGGAGACCTAGACAAGGCAAGTTCAATAACTTGCCCACAAAAATAAAACCAAGCATTGGAGCTGATTATTCACCAGCCTTAGAGAAAACATGGATGGCTGTTAGATTTCAAATCATATTTCCAGTAATGACTCTTACTATTTTATAATAAATTTTTTTCCATATTTCTCATTCTTGTCCTAAGGTACCTCTCCTATTGAAGATATTTTTAAAATTCCAAAACACAGAGCAAGTAAGCAATCGGGCTGAAATAAACTCAGATGACTCCCAGTGGTGTGTTCATTAGAATGAACCCTGGGACAAGGACAGTTTCCAAGTCACAGGTCTTCCTCACACCACTTGTCATAAAACAGAGTAGTGATGTAACCAGGGTGTAACCTTGCGGCTTTTGTGCCACCTCCCGATTCATGACATCAGCAGTATGTCCAGCACAGGTGCGCACAGAGGACGTTACTAAAGACACTCTGTCATAATTTGAAATCTTCTGGCTTGTTTTATCGTGCTCCAGCTCTAAGGAAAGCAACAGCCAAAAGCTCTTAATGACCATAGTATACTTTCCACAACAGGCTGATTTTCACACCTGTATCAAATTACAAAATAGTCTAATCATGTAAATATGCTTAACAAGAAGATAATCGATCTTCTCAACTAAATTTTCCAAACAAATATTCATAGTTAAGACACAGAACAATTCCATTTAGGGAGTTCAGGGAAAATGCACTTGCTATTTAAAGCAGACAGACACACTGGAGCCGAAAAATGCAGAGCATGGGGGAAAGAATCTGGGTTCTGCGTGGAGAGTTCTGATCCATGAAAGGCAGATGAAGTGGGATAAGAAAAGGATACTTGGAGGGGAGGAAAGCGGAGGGAAGAGAATGGTTCCCTCAGGTTTGGCTTAAGGGAGGGCCCCTGTGAAAGCTCCTAGGCAGGGCAGGCACACCATCTTCCACGCTCTAGTTTTCTTCCCACCCTAGAACACTCATCTGTAGTACTCATGTTCCAGAAAACTAAGAGCTTGAATATCCTCATAATTTGTAATGCCAGGCAGCATGAGAAACTGAAAACATGAGCATCAGTTAGAACACTGTCTCCTCCCAAACTGGGCTCACAGAACATGCACGTTCCACAAGTTGCTAACAGGTCTTTTTCTAAAAACAAAAAGGACTCCATGGTTAAGTAGGTATGAAGATTGCTGCACTAAACAAAGTTGAACAGGCTTTCTGACTTCTCAGGACATTCAACAGACTAATGTGAATGATGAGTCTTTCAGCAGAGGAGTACCGATGGTGGGGCCAGGAGGCGACCAACGGTGGGATGCACATTCTCCACCACCAAGAGCCCCTCTAGTTTTTGACAAAGACAATGCCTGTCTTCTTAATCTCATATAAAGTTCTATGTGAGAACGTTTTAGAGTTGCCTCTTCTGGGTCAGTTGTCCTAAAGAACAGCTGCCCCTAGAAGCTTCCCGTGTAGCATTTTTGAGCAGCTAGGTGTGTACACAGTGTCCCCAACCTTGTCTGAATATGGAGTTTCCTTTGTCAAAAGACATCTATTACTATGTCAGCGAACAGAATACTAAAAATACATGAAATATGGTTTAGCAAAATTCAGGCTAAAGATATTAAGGTGAGGCTGTTCTTCTATGCCCCACTACTATTCTAGGTTCATGTTTCTCTTCGTCACGGAATGCCAACTGGGCCACCTTCTGGTAATCTGCACAGTATTTAGCAGACTTGGTAAGCCACCTCCAATGAAACAGTTAAGAAAATTAGACTCATCCTATGAATTCCTCTGAGGACTTATAGTAACTTACTTCATTGCCTGAGCCCCGAGTAAGTGTATTTTCAAAAAGAACTGGTAAATCACAGGGCTTTTAGAGGACACTCATGATTAAGAATTATTCTGTTTCAAACACACACACTTCCTACTCTCTTTTTCATGTATATTCATTATTTAAGTGCACCTGGACCTAGGTGCACATTTTACCTAGTAAATTCCAAGTATGTTTTAAACTTCAAGCCTTGGTAGGTAAACGGTATCTATTTTTACACAACAGTGCTTGGTTTTATACACCCAAAGAATAACTGGGAGCTCATGAAAATGAAAAATCTATATGAACTGGCAAACCACAGCACTTTTAGAGTATTTACTAGTGATAAAATGAGATATGGTAAAATGTTCATTTCTGCTAACTTTTGGAAGATGTTAAGTCTTTTTGGAAGAGGCCAAGTTCCCCTTGAGGGAAGTAATCAAAAGAAGGAAAACCCAAGGCAAGGTAGACAAAGGAAGTGTTGATGCTAACTCCCTATGGTAAACCAAGAAGAATGTGGCACATTGACTCCAAGTGTTTCTGGAACTAGAAAAATGATGAGTTCCATTTCTGGCAATACAATGAATGAGATTCCCAGACCTGCCCTTTGCTGGAAACAACTGAAGTGCTGGATAAAATAAAATGAACCATATTTAAAATAGAAGTAAAAAAGCAAAGAACGCTCAGAAGCTAAGTGGAAGCAGGCACTAAAGAAGTCACTGAGCACTGAACGAAGGCTTTCCCCTCCAAAGCATTTGCCAAGGCGATGAATTTGAGTGTTCATTTTAATGGCTCTTGCAGCACAGTAGAGAGGAGACAAAAAACCCAGGGCATTTCCACTGTGGGAGTCCTACAATAAACACTGCTGTTTGATAAAACTGGGTCTCTTGAGAATTATGTGCTTAGTGTAATGGTGAACGAGAAATAAACCCACCCCTGTGCCTATCTTACCCCACTGACCTATAAGGAAAATTACCAGTCTTGAGGAGTTGGGAAGACAATCTCCCATGAGAATGTATGACCCTAAGCTTGTCCTTAGGCAAGTGTATAAACTAAAATCATACTTTCTGAGTAAGTCAAAAACACTCAAGCCAATAATAGAAAATGGTCAAGAGCTAAGAATATTTAAGACATCTGGTGGCTATAAATGCAAGTAGACCCTGGAGGAACTCACCTTCAATCTAGGCCTCAGGAACGCCCATAGACATAGTTCTAAGAAATATAAGCTCACATTAAAACACACACACACACAACCCAACAAAACAAGAAGCAAAGCACCATGAGTGAGAGTCAGCAGAAGCACAGAAAGCTGAATGAGACTTGCAAAGACTTCAGATATGGAAAATAAGTTATATAAAAGAAAATTAAGTATGTTTAATATGTTAAAAAAGAGGGAAATGGAAACTTTATATAAGGAGCCAAACACAATTTTTAAAAATGACCAATCCACCTGAACAAAAAGAAACAAATAAAACTTCTAAAATGAAAAATATAATAACTTAAACACAAACTTATTGCATGGGTTTAACAACATATTAGCCACAGCCAAGCAGTGAATTAACGACTGGAGGGAATTATCCAGAATGAAGCACAGAAAGACAGAAGACATGGGAAATATAAAAGAGAGTTAAGAGACATGGGAGACAGAGTGAGAAGGATTAACATACAATTAATCATAAGGAGAGGAGAATGAGAACAGTACAGGGACAATATCTGACGAAGTAACGGCTGACAATTTTTCAGAACGACTGAAAGACACCAATCCACAGATTCTGGAATCTCACAAAATTCAGAGAAGGGAGTAAGAGGTGGTGAGAAGGGGAAGGAGAGGGAGAATAGAAGGAGGAGGAAGAGGTAGAGAAAAGGAAAAAGAAATTCATGTCTATGCATATTATAGGGAGAACAGAATGTCACATATAAAGACCTTAAAAAAATAGCTGAGAAAAACTATCCACCCACGGGGTCCCGACAACTATAAACAACACTTTCTTTCCAGGGGCCCCATACAAGCCTCCATACTTCTTGTGTAGAAGACAGGTATTCACCTGCCAGCTTCCTGAAAACACAGTAACTTCACTTTAGTGGTGGTCATAAGAGATCATTTGAAGATTTAAGGAAATACCACCAGTATATCATGTAACCCTCAGGCACCTGGGGAGCTATCTCCAAAATGAAGCTACCTTTGGTTACACAGGGGGGTTCTTGGAGGAATAACTGCTTCATTATTTATGTGCACCCTGCAGGCAATGAGCATCTTACAAAAGGAGTCATCCGACTAGAAAAAGGGGAACAAAATTTGTCCTTGAACTTAGTGATCAATGGTTCCTTGGCCTTGGAAGGCATTCAGGGCAGCCTCAACTCACTGGGCACGGTTGGTATGGGTGACAGACTTGCCTTGGTCTCTTGTGGGCCAAGGCAATCTGTGCAACAACTTATCCATTCTGTCATGCCCAGATAAATGCCTCAGGTCATGTGGAAAGTTCAACAGAGAAATGTAAGGAAAAGCCACCTGGCTTTCTCAGGTAGACTTTGATGGTTTAATGGGATTTCTTCCACTTGTTGGGTCTGGGATCCTGAGGGACAAGGCTGAGGTCATTATTTCAGGTTGGTCTTGTTCTGTGGATAACAGCCTTAATTAAATGCTGTATGAAACAAATCGAATGGATTTGGTTCTCAGCCTTTGTGGTGATCAACAGAATGGTGTACTCAGGGGCAAATTTCTCAGGAGCCAAGATGGTGTAGAAACAAGAGGTGGATATTATTGGAAAACAATTCTCCATGGGTCTCCTATGGTTCTGCACATCTTGTGAGCAAAGGCACCAACTGTCCTTTGTTCTGGATTATCATTTCAAGAATGTCTGTGTAGGAAGCAGCCTTGCAAGATAAAACCAGTATATCCCTCTGGAGCCAAGGGCAAGTGTGTTTACTTCAGTATAATAAAAGATAATATTTCCCTCCAGACTAAAGGAGGGGCATGGAGCACCTCAGTGGCTCAGTAGGTTAAGTGTCTGCCTTCGGCTCAGGTCATGATGCATCAGGCTCCCTGCTCAGTGAGGAGTCTACTTCTCTCTCTCCCTCTGCTCCTCCCCCACCCCACATTTGCACACGCGCCTGAGCATGCTCTCTCTCTCTAATAAATAAATAAAAATCTTAAAAAAAATTAAGGAGGGGCATGCTTACTGCTAATTAAAAAGATTTGGGTTCCCTGAGCTCAGGGCTTATTTAATTCAACCCACTGCATATGCATCCATCTGGGCCGATGGCACCCCAGTGGGACTTGGGGCAAGGAGAAGTGATGCAAATATGCTGATGCTCATGCTGTTTGTTATTCTGGAAGTAAGAAAGTCCTTTGTTGATAATCCAGGAGTCTCATATCTTCTGCCAGCATCCATAAAACTGGCAGGCTAAGTTGTTAGCTTGCAAGTAGGGTAGAACCTCAGACACTTCACAGATCTTGACTCAAACAACCTAAAAGAAAATGGGCAAAAAACTTGAAGATGCAATTCATAGAAGAAAAATCAGGATAGCCAATAAACATACCAAGTAAATGAAAACTAGAGCTCCAATGAGATATTATTTCACACTGAAAAGCCTGACAAAAACTGAAGAGTCTCACAATATCAAGTGTGGGTGAGGACGGGAAGAAACTCAACACTTAGACACTGGCTGGTGAAAGTATAATTTGGCTAATCACTCTGGAAAACAATTTGGCCTTCCAGTACAATTGAAGACGTACATATCCCATGATCTGGCAATATCATTCAAAGGTGATTCACTGAATCCCTTGTACACATGCGCCGTAAGACAAGCACTGTTTGCAATAACAAAATATTTAAAGCAGCTCACATATCTACCACTGGGAGAATGTACATATCTACTAGTGGCATATTTATACCACCCATGCAGCAATATGGATGGATGTCAGAAACTTGTTGAAAAATAAAGTTGCAAAAGAATACAGCTATTATGATTCATCATATAAAGTTTAAAAACCAAATTGTTTAGGAACACATACATATGAGGGAACCTGTAAAGAAAAGAAAATACATGATAACCACACATGCTGAGTAGTGGTGACCTGAGGAGAGAGAGAGGTGGCTGAGCCCCGAGTAGGCACATGAAGGACAGAAAGATCAGGGCGACACTCTCCTGCTCGAACCAAGTGGTGGGAACATGAATGTCCACTGAACCGTGATGTTTCTTAACACCTCACATATATGTTACAAATATGTGCTTGTAAGAAGCCAATTTTTATAAAAGGGATGCCAACTACCTGAGGAGCACGGGCTGATTCCAGGTTGTTTCCCTTCAAAAAACAAAAACAACCAACACCATGAAGCAAGCATCACCAAGGGCTTTTTCTCCAGTGAGTTGCCACATTCCAGAGTAAACAAATCCAAACCTATTTTACGTAACTTCACGTAGAGTTTAGAAAACTTTTTAGGATCAAAATACATTGATGCTCTGTGACACTGACCCTGAATCAAAAATAGTGTCGATGTGAAGTACTGCGCTGTTGGTTTAGGAACCACTGAAACTCACAATGCTACCTGAACAATAAAGAGCCCAGCTACATGAGCAGGTGTCTGTGAAGAGCCTTGTCACCGAGACACAGAGTTCTGTCGGCGCCCTCAGACTGCTACACACATCATACCCTCAACTGCCGCTTCACAGGTGGAGGAGGTACTCACTGGATCAGCATCATGCCTCTTCAGCCTATGAGACCAAGGTGACAAAGATGGGAACACCCTTGGAAGTACTGGGATATACAGCCATCCATAAAAAATGAGATCTTCAGAACACCATTAAAAGAGATCACTCATGATGTTACTCCTATAGGGGCTACTATAAAGGTTTAATCTTATTAGAACTTTGTTATGGTAACATGTATTTGCAATAGCCTCGGTATTTCTATCTTCATTTTGGGGGGGGCAGGGAAAAAGGAAGAGATATAAATAAATATGGAGACTTCTAGGAGTCAGAATATTTCAGCTTCCTTAAGAAACGTTCCCCATAAAATGCAAATAAATACTTCAAGCAGTAATGATCTACATATAATTTAGAAATGTTTTTGGCCCTACAGATCTTGTATTATTGTCTGATTTTGGGGAGGGCGGGTCCTAAGAAAAGTGAAACAGAAATCATTGTTAAATGATGGGAATTAAATATTTGAATTTGTAAGTCTACTGAGATTTCTTCAAGACATTGGTAAAGCATGAGGGGAACTTCATCAGTGTCGTATATTAGCAGTACAAGCATCTGTACTTTCCTGAAAATCTGCCTAAATGTCTCATCAATTTAAAGTTTATTTCTTTATCTTGCATTCTACATGCTTTCAGTTTTTTGGTTTTGTTTTTTTGTTTTTTGAGAGAGAGAGTACATGCGCATGTGGAGGGAGGCAGAGGAAGAAGGAGAGCATCTTAAGCAGGCTCCACACCCCATGCGGAGCCTGATGCAGGGCTTGATCTCACAGCCCTGAGATCATGACCTGAGCCAGAATCAAAAGTGGGATGCTTAACTGACTGAGCCACCCAGGTGCCCTGACATGCTTTCAGTTTTTTGAAGACAACTGTCCTGTAACTGCAAGTCTTCTGGGACAAAGTTAGCTTTCATAGTTACATTTAAATGGAAACACTGGAGCAACCCACAACTTCTCGGACCAGAACCCTGTTTGTCTCCTGCCCTTTGCTATATATTTGGAAGCTTTGCAAAAAGCAAAGTCAGAACTACTCATCTTTCCTTCCTCCACACCCACAGGCAGCTCACTATGGATTTGGGTTTATTTCAAACAGCCTCTCATGAAATAGAAGAGTGCATACCAATGTATGTTGTGCACGAGGCAGGTATGCTCTCTGAGACATCTCCATCCATAAGGGAAGACTATTTACACTGTGCTCCACCATTTACATTCTGTCTCCAACAATAGCTAACCCTTCAAACGCTCATGAAACTTAATTACTTCCTAACTATTTAAACATTGTAAAAATGCCCATGAAGAGAAAAGTTGCCCAGCCACGGTGGTAATGGGAGAAGAAACGAGGTGCAGAGTTGGCACAGTTTTGGCTAATATGTCTTTCAATTACAGCACACAGCAATGTTATATTTTGCCACTTAGAAGAGCCTTTTTATTCTGCTCCTTTATAAACAGCAAGATAAGGCAGATTTGAACAGAATGGTTGAACCTGGAACTCTAACCTGCTCCCTGGGAAACTGGAAGAGGCTTTGGCAGCAACACAGGCCTGGGTTTCACCTCTGGGCTGATAATGCATGTGCTTAGATCATCAGTCTGCATTCCTTAAATCTGATTCTGGAATGGGCTCAGAGTCACTGCTTCTCAAGGTAGAATTTAGAGTACCAAATGGACCCACAGCTTCTTCAAATGAACTTACATAATGACACAAACACTGAACTGAAACAGAGTCAAGATTCTATGTAACAAGTGGCACCCTGATTAGGGATACTATGGCCATATTGTGCCTGCTCCCTTTCTATTTTGTACCCCAGAATCTTGGTTGATCTGTCAGCTAGGCCCACGTAACTCAGATATTTATGTTTAATTAAACAGGAATCAGACATTTAACTCTGAACTTCATAAATAGAGGGAAGGAGAAAGGAAATGTGATTAATATTTGTTGAGTTATCTATTGTATAGTAGAAATAGCGCTCAGTGACTTATTTGCATTCATTTAATTTCCACATAATTCCATGAAATCAGTTTATTATCTCATTGTATAAGTAAAGAAACTGAGGTTAAAAGAAAGTAAGTCACATACCCAGTCATGAAGGGGTCAGGACTCAACCCAGGACTTCAGCAATCCAAAATATGGATTTGAAAACATGTGGGTCCATATTACAGAATGAGAATTATATACAGTTTACTAGATGTAAATGTAAAAGTTAATATATGCAACATGCTATAAATGAAATAAAATAGTAATGTATAATCTTTCCACCTTCCCATCTAGAAAATGGTAAAATCTTAAACAGAGTGGAGGTAAGAGACGTAACTCTGAAAATTTGAATCATCCTCTTTTCATCACCCCAGCTGCCTATATTTATCCATTGTGACTCTCTATGAGCCTTATAGCTGAAAAACCTTTACTACTTTCTGCTGTGAATTCTCTATCTGTCTACAATTTCTCCAAGTTCTGACTTTGAATCAGAGTCTTTATCAACTGGACTTCTCAACTCTCTTATATGTGGCAAACTTAAAAGGATATGCTAATGTGTGCCAGGTTAGGATATACCTTTCACTGTTACCTAGGTCTGACTGGTATTCTATAAATATCCTTTAACATACTCTAATGAAATCAAAGCGTAACATATCTCCAAGGCTTAGGGCCCTTATGTTTTTCTACCTGTCAAGAAAACTCAGCAAAAGTTCTTGAAGCTCACAGAAAACTGAGATGCCATGAATTGATGATCAAGAAAGGTGAGAGATGGAAAGTCTATGATGACCCGTGAGCCACCTATCAGCTAACGTGGGCCCAGAACCCCCACAGCCCCTAAGGAACATCTGAAGCTTCTGAAGTTTGAATTTTCCGTAATGAAACAAGGGAAAGAGGCATGTAATTTAACTACTTCTTAACTATTTCAGTACAGCAAAAAAAATGTTCATGAAGGAAAAAAATTGCCCACCCACAAAAATATCTTATGTTTAGCTCATAGCAATAATGTGGAAAATGTGACTGGTCTTCTGCTGTCTAAATGCTTTTGGAAGAACTAGACAAACAAGTTACATTCCAGAAACTAGTACTAGTTACATATAACCCTGGAGGCAGGAATGGTGCAGAGATTACAGCCCCTTCAGAACCAGCTCTGTGACCACAGGGCACGACTATCCAGAAAAACATGAAATGTAGCATAGGGCAGACTGGGCTGATCTGTTAATCAAACCATAAACATTTATCGAGCCTACGAAGCCTGCAGTATCCTGTTCTGGTGCTGAGCAGGCTCCTCTGGGCAGTTTAGGGCCTCATTAGTTTAAAGGAACTGCTGCTGGGCAACCAGTGTCTGTAGCCAAATAGGAGCCACTGCCCTGATCATCTGATAACTCAGAGCACAATCTCTGAAGTCCAAATGCAGTGAGAGAAGATGGGGTATTTTCCCCGGGGTAATACATAAAATAAGTTAAAAAAATTTATTTTTCAGTATTGGTGGGAAGTAATTTATGTTATCAAAGTTATCTTCAAGCAAAATTTGACACTCCAAAATATTACAGCCAATAGGAATTCGGCTAATAATACCCAGGACAGTATTTGAACCTTATTAACCCTCAAAAAATATATGGAAATTTTTAAATTAAAGATGAATACAGTTATGGTTAACTTGAAGTGGAAGGAGGTAGAATACTAGGAAAAAAAATCAATCCCCAATTTTCTCAAGTTAAATGTAGTAGTCATTAGTTTTCTAAGACTATTTCAAGCAAGAATTGATCAAGGCAATTTAACATAGTAACTATGAACCACATAAAATTAGCCAATGAATCTAAGGAAGTATGAATCCAGCATGTGAAGAGGCCTTCTGAGCTTGCCCAGTTTTCTCCTACTTCTTCTTCGGGCTACACTCAGGCCATTCCTCACAGATCCTTTTTGTAAAGACACAAGTGACACGAGACCAACAGTCTCCATGGGTAACCCAATCTAGGCTCAAAGGACCTTGTTCTCGGAAATTATTTCCATTTCCCCAACCTCAGTGCGCTAGCTTTTATTTGGAAGACCTAATTTTAATTCCATGTTTCCTAAGTAGATGAAAAGACCACTTTGGCACCACCTCTATACCTCTTCCTTGTTTTTTTTTTTTTTTTTTTTTTTTGCCTCTTAGTCCTCATACAAGCCACATTAATCCTATAATTGCTTCCTATAAAAGCTATATCTCCCTCATCCTTTAGGTTGCTCCTACTCTCAGTAACGGAGATGGAGAGGTGCTCACCAGGCTCTGGGTGTGAACCTCACAAGGGCTGAAATCTGTCATTTTATGTTAGGAAAGCTAACCCGGTTGTCATAACCTTTCCTCAGAGGTCTCCTTTTTCAACCCTTTAATCATCTTTAAATGACTTTCTTTGGAAGTCTCTCTAAAGTGGCCCCATACTGTACAATCAAATCATTTAAGAGCTCGAAGAGACATTGTAAAGTCATCCAGGCTTTTACAGAACGGAAAACTGAGACCCAAAGAGGCTGAGTGACATGCAGAAAGTCTCCCAGCTGATCGCTAGATTTTACTGATTCTAGTTTTAACTAGAAGTGATGGATTCCTATTCCTATGAAACATATTACCTGTTCTGTTCAAGATCTGAGTACAGGCTATCTTTGCTTTACACACAGTTCAGATATGAAAAAATGTCAATTACCATACTTTAAATAACACCATCCCCAAACAACACAGTTCAAATTTCAGTTATCAGAGTACACTGACTAGGAGTAATTGCATAAAGTCCAAGCTCCACAGCTAGCACTTCAGGCTACAAATCACTATGTAAATAACAGCTGAGCATCGTGATCAGTAACCAAACACATCACTTCTTTCAAAATCCACTGGTGACTGGTCACCACACAGCTGTTATTTACACATAAACAGCAAAGGGGGTAGTTATGTTGTGTCCTGTGTCCCAGGGATACATACATGCCATTTTACAAAAATGGGTAATCAGAAGAGAGAACTAGCCAATGAAGATAAAAAGAAACACAAAGTGATAATGCTGGAAGTGAAATTTGAATCTACCATAAGTGGAGGTACAGAAGAAATAGCTGACAGTGGGAACAGTGACCTTGATGCTGCTCAAGACTTATAATGTGCAGCTAGAAAACTCTGAGGAGGCAAGCTTAACGACACAAAGGAGGAAAGTAGTTGTGACAAAAAGGATAAAGGTGACCCAGGGGAAATGATGGCACTAAAAAAAAAAATTTACATTAAAAGAACTCTCAGAGACATTTCACAACATTGAAAGCCCAAAGGATAAAATATTGGAAGCTGATCCAAACTAAGAAAGGAGTATGACAACTCATCAAGGCACAGGAAAAGCGCTCGCTCGCTCCGTACCCTAAGTTACAGGACAGGAAAGAGATAGCAGGCTCTGTTCAAACTACTCTTGATAAGTTTTATAAAGAAATAGAACAGTTTAATTCTCAGTGTTTCTAATGTTTTAAATTACAATATGCTAAATGAATATTAGTTTTTCTACCATTTGCCACGCCCCTATATATTTATAATTGGTAATAAGAGTTTTTAATGTTTTGACAAAAAATGTTTAAAGGTCAAGGAACTATTATAATTTTGCCCATGATTATTAGTGGGGCTAACCTAAAAAAAAAAAAATCTCCTTTTTACTGCTGGTAGAAGCTAACTGAGACTTCGCTTACAGGTGACCAGCTCCTACAATCTACAGGAACTAAAAGACATTATTATATCTCTTTATTCAGAAGCCACCACCATACCCTGGGAGTCCCCAGGGTATGCAAGGGATTATACTATAGGCCATCACGATAACCCTGTGAGCTAGGGATCAAGTGTCTTGTCCACGCTGCTTGGACAGAGCTAAAATCCAAAGCCGGTTCCTCTGACTCCAAGCCACCCTCTCTGCCCACCCTTCCACAGCCTGTCCAGGTTCTCTGGTGGGAAGGATGGCATCTCTTACAAAGGATGACTATTTCCAACTCAGAATCCATCACCAACGGCAATGGCAAGTAACGGGGGCATCCTTGTGGGAAGGTTGGCACAAGACTATTAATCATAACTTGCACTATTGCCTTTCGCAGACGAGGAAATGTGTATTCTGTATGACTTATTCATCCTTGAGTGTGCAATTGTTCATTTAAAGACAATGCATATTCTTCTTTAAAACAATGGTCTTGGTCTTTCCTTTTCACTTCTGCCCGATCTACAGCTTACAATGCCCTCCCAGAATAAAACAAAATTCACTTCAGAACAGGCCTTGTTCATAATGCACACAGTTTGCTTGTCCGGGTCCTCTCTAGCAACACCTATGCTCTCACTCCCCTACCTGTGGCTCTTTATTTTACACGTAACTGCTGGAATATGCGCGGAAGGAAGTTCCTTCTGATCCTTTTTCCTCTTTCTTTTCTTACCTGTTTCCCTATCTGATATTTAAATCCCAGTTCCTATTTAGAGTATTTAGGGTATCCTTACTTAAGAGAGAGAACCTCATACATGTCAACATTTGTTCTGGTACCTGGTGGTGGGGAAACATGTTGTCTGCTGGCAACAGTGGCAGACTGTCAGCTATCTGTGGAAAAGGATTTTCAAAGCCTGCACAGAACAGAAATACTGCTGGAGCACAAAGTGCTGCATTTTTTTTTAAGATTTTATTTATTCATTTGAGACACAGAGATACAGAGAGAGAGAGAGAGAGCATGAGCAGGGGGAGAGGCAAAGGGAGAGGGAGAAGCAGGCTTCCCGCCGAGCCGGGAGCCCGATGCAGGACTCGATCCCAGGACCCCGGGATCACGACCCAAGCCGAAGGCAGACGCTTAATGACTGAGCCACCCAGGTGCCCCAAGTGCTGCATTTTCCAATGATACCATTTGTAATAGTATTTAGGGCCATCTTCCATGTAACTGAGTAAAAAAAGTCATAGAGTAAAATAAGTTTAAAAAAATCCTTGTCGATGAGCACAAGGTGATGTATGGCCTGAAACTAATATATCACTGTATGTTAATTGGAATTAAAATAAAAACTTAAAATTAAAAAATTAAAAATAAGAAATCGCATCAGAATAAAAAAACACCCTTTTATCAATCTCCACTTTCAGGTATATAAGTTAGAAATATTTTACCACATAATCATCAACTGACTATGGCCATAGATGAACTGTAAGAGACACAATTCATGCACAGTCAAAACTTAAAACTCCATGTAATGCCACCAGTACCTTATGTTCATATTAATACAAATTATATAATACTGATTTATACAGCAAACTCTGCTGTCACCTTTCATTCTTGAACATCTCCCCCAAATTCCTTCTATTACACCAGATATTTGCTGTATCTACTGACCTAAAACTCTCTGGATATAAAGCCCCCGTAAGATGGAAAGAAATCCACCCCCCCCAAATAGCCCAGGGAGAGTTGTCTAATGAGGACAGATCTCTCAGCCTGTGGACATGGAGCTGCTCTGTGGATAACTGCACAGTTCACCAAAGATTCCCAGATGGCTGCACTCTCTGAGGATGCTGGGGAAAAGTCAAAAATCCATGCCGAAGCACTCAGAAGACCTGTTTCATAGGCAGCTCACCTTCCTAGGCTTAGCCCAAACAGTCCTCCCAGTGAGCAGTCCCTGTGTCGGTGTGCCTGTGGATTCTGGACAGTCACAGCCCAAGCTGGTTGAGAGTTCATGAGGAGCAGAGCTACAGAGTTTGGCCCATTCTGTCACCAGAAGGAAGCTATTTTCTCAATACATTATTTTTTCTGTAAAGAGTTAACAAATAACTAAGAACTTAGTAGATAGCCAAACTGTATGTTTATGAGCTTAGCAGGTATAGTATTACATTTTTTTAATGACTTGGTGGCTAGAATGAACTTCATTCACAAAAATGTGGCTAATGCATATAGGCCAATAATTGGTATTCAATTGTGGGTGTGTAAAGGAGTTAGTACAACCTAAATCCAAATAAGAGCATTTCAGAAAAAAACTCAGTTATCACAAAATGTACCTCAATACAGTCCTAACAACTGGTTAAAAATCAGGGCCAACACAGAAGCTGTTTAGCTCTGGGAAGGAATTTTAGAAGATGTGACACCAATTGATAGCATTAATTCACTTAGTAGTAATAGCACAAAACCTGTGTGATATGAAACTGAGTCAATAGTGAAAGAAAACATAAGGCAAACTGGTCCTAGGAGGAGATGGGGGTAGTTTTCCATACCTTATTTGGAAAACTTATGGAATGACCATTTGGTGCTTCCATGATAATTCAAAGCCTTGTCAATATTTTCAATATTACCCAGAGATTTTACTTCTAACCCAGATTTGTCTGTTGTGCTTATCCTGAGCCTCTATAATTTGTATAATACTAAATTCAAAGTGGTTTAAGGCCAGTAGAATAAAAGGATTTTAAATGTTATGTTCTCTTAGGTTGGAAGTAGCAAAAACACAATTTAGTACAATTTAGTCCAATGTTTCAAAATATTATTTTAGTTGTTAAAGATCTTAAAATAAAATTTCTTCATTGTGCAATGTCCCTTGTATTTATCAAGAACTAAAAAAAACAAAAAAGGCTGTTTCATTCCCCTGTCCCTGATCCTTACAAAGACAGAGGAGTATGTGTGCTTGCAAGTGTAAGGATGTGTGTGTGTACGCACACACGCGAGCTCGGGTGCATACACAGGCACTTTACTTTCCCTCCTAATTCCGACCTTTCAGGTTTCTATGTGTATTAATACCCACCCACCTGGCTGGCAGACCTTTTCACAGTGTGCCCTTCAAGATAAATATATATATATATACACACACATATATCAGCACAGTTTAAAAACAATGACAACCCTATGGAGTGCTGGAGAGAGAAAGAAAGGAACTAAGGGTGAGACAGACAGACAGACAGACACGCTCAAGAAAATCACTTCCAACCAGGGTCTGGGGCTACACAGCTAATCAGGCAGGTATTCAGCTCTTCACTTCTGCAGACTTGCTTAGCATTGAAATCGGCTGTCTGCCCAGGAGGATGAGGTAATGTCTAGGTTTAATGCCAAAATCTCTCTAACTGGCAGGACACATCGGGTAAATATTTCTACTGCAGGAGACCACATTCATTTGATGCTGCTGCCAGTTTTATTATTGTTATTATGCTCATTAATATTAATACCTGGCCATCATACCTGTTTAAGATTGAAGATGGAAAGCCAGGGTTTTTACTGAAATCATATTAGCAGGTATGGGGGGGGAGCAAACCTCCTACTCTGCTCCCCACCCCCAAGCTTCCCCTAACAATGACAATCACAGCACTGACCTGCAATCGCTTTTACACACCCTGGGCTGCACAAACTCTCTCTCCCAGTGGCTGCAAATATGGAACCACACTCGGGTTTCCCCCTTTCATCCTGTCAGTGAGAATGGGTGAGGTGGTAGTAGGCAGGTGGGGCATCAAGCCCACTTCAAGCTACCTGGATAGTTGTGACATGTGGAAACAGTAGATTGCCAAAGGTTTCTTCTTCCTTATTAAAAAAATTCTAAATTTGCTACACATCTATTTTTGATGACGTGGTTTATAGCCTCACAAATTACGGGCACCCTCGTGCTGATACGGAACAGGTCCCATAACTTGTTCCCTTGATGATCTGTCTCTGTGGTTACTGTCAACAATATACACTCATGTCACAGCATATGATCCTACAGAAGCATTTACAGAAATGCTCAGGGCTTCTTTAATTTAAATTTTCCCTGTTGTTACTGGATGAGTCCTCTGACATCAGCCTTTATTCAGTTAAAAAGACAGGGCTTTTCGTTCTGGGAGTCAGCAACTGAATGTCAAACTTCCAATGGGTTCATGAAGGACCACCTACAAGGGACAGTCAAACTCTCACCCATCTTATCTTCTCTCACCAAAGATTTGAAAATAATGCTTCCCTCTTCCAGACATTATTCCAGGAAGAGGCAAGAAAGCATGATGCCAAGCAAAGCTTTCCTGCAAAAGGTGCCACAAGGGCAGTATTATGTGTGAACAACACAAAAGAACATCTGAAACCCAACATCATCCTGCAGCAAAACAGAGAGCAGCACCTCCGCACTCTGACATCACCTACACCATCTCACTGGGAAGGGGGAGCTCTGGAGAATGGAATCAGGAGCCGACTCCTCAAATGTGCCAAAGATTGGAAAATAAACAGACAGACGCTATTCTTGTGCTTGGTTAGGGCCAGCCCAACCCAGCTAGCTGCTAACATTTATACACAGTGACTCCATGAGCTGAATGTTGTTTTGGTCTTGGTTTTGTTTTCAGATCAAACAACCCTCCATAAGCAAAGAGTTTCAACTTGTACAAGAGTCTTGTACAACATACATGTGCTTCTAAATGGGAACCCAAGATTCCCTATGAATCAGGAAAGTGATTCACTGTATTTGGGAACTGGAGATGGAGGTGGAAAGGAAACAAGACAATGGTGAGGTCCTTCTATTGTTAGGGGAGTGGGGACCTAGCTGCTGGTCCCAAGAAAAATACTGGAAAGAGAGATAAGAGTGAAAATGAAAGGGGAATCATAGAGATTTTCCACAACTGGGGAAGGTGTATGCTTGGAAGGATTTCTTCAATGTCATCCTCACCTGGGTGACTTCCCACTGTGATAGCTGAAAGGAATTTTCCTGTTTCCCCTCCCCCAAACAAAATATTTCTTCTCGTTGTAGCTTTGGTTTTCGGAAGTCATCCTTCTTTCTTCCCAAAAGGGGGGACCTTTGTCACCTACAAGAATATTTAGGCTCCCCAAATGTGTTTTGATCTGATATTATGACATGAAAGTCACTTGTGTCTTCTTACAGGGCTTGCTGAACTGCTTTTGAAAAACGGTAATAATTAAGAGAGGCTGAAAGTGTACAGTAGTCCCCCTTTTCAAAATGCTAAGAGGCTCTTTTTAAGCTGTAATAAAAAGAAGCTAAATAAAATTCCCAAAAGCTAAGCAGTCTAAATTTTATTTAGACTGGAGAATGTTCATTATGAGTCGGGCAACAGGCTGAATGGAAATTACTAAGTAATTGAACATTATAGCCTTAAAACCCATTAGTTCATCTTACTGCATTTCCTGAATACATGCATATTTTTTATGTTTTGTTAAACTAATAAAAAACAATTTTTAAAAATTAATGAAGAGGTTCTAATCCTTGTGCTACCTGGTTATCTATCTTCAAGTCCACTGAGGTTCTGGTTGCAGGGTTGACTGCCTTCAGATTTGCTGGAGCAAATAAATGTGTGAGCATGACACTTTATACTTTGTGGTTTTAATTTTGGCTTACATTAATGCAGTGGTTTGGTGGTAACTGCCACAAACCTTGAAATCACACTCTTCTCCTCCCACCTCCCTATCCTTATTAATCCGTATTAATCTCAACTATGGGAAGCTTTGACTCTAATACCAAAACCAAGAGTCAAGGTTCTGTGATATCCCTCTCCCTGAAACTATAGAATGATGTGACCCAGTTCAGGGCTGATTCTTGAGTCTCCCTAACTCTAAACACTCTAAATTTAACTGGATACTTTCAAGGTTGAATTCTGATCTGCTCTGCTCTTCATCCCCAGTGGGATCATGGCTTAACTTCCACAGGAAAGATTTAGGTCAGATGAAAAGATGGTATTAATATATTCAACAAAAGACTTGTTAAGCATTAGACTGTGCTACTGACTGTGGAAACCTCATCCCCTGCAAATCTTTTAATAGAATCAAGAGGGAGGATGGGAGGTCATCCAGTTTACCTCCTAACTTCAAGCAGACCCCACTAAAATCATTCTGGGCAGTGAGGCTGCCTTATTTTTAAGGTGTGCTTTTTGTTTTTCCAGAGAAGCAGATTCCACAATCTTCCTTAACAATTTACTCTAGTTCCTGACAGTCTTCATGACTCAGGATTCATTTCCTTATGCTTAACCTAAATCTTCCAAGCTGCCAGTGGTGCTCATTTCCTCCCGTGTTCTCACTGGTACCGACGCAGAACAGCTGGTGCCTGTCGTCTGCATAATAACTCTTCCTGTCCCTCCAGACACAGCCAATCTCCTCCAGGCCAAGCAGGGGAGTCCAGAGGGGTGCCAGAAGAGCCGAGAGAGCCTGGGGTTTGTTACAGAATTAAAAGAGGGACCTAAAAAGGTGGGGGGCGGTGGGGGCAGGGGGGCAGGAATCACTAGGAAAAAAAATTCCACAAAGAGGCTGGCAGTGAAGGCAAAGGCAAGCTGACTGAGTTAGAAGATGAATGAGACCTTCGAGTTCACGGAATTTTATAAAATAACAGTGCTTATGATTTTACTATGTGATCTAGGTGGAGCATGTAATCCCTTTGAGTTTCAGCTATTATCACAGTACGAAATTAACACCTTAATTACCTAAAGACAGAGGCTAGGCCCAATGACCTTAGAGGTCCTTTCTTGTTCTAGAATTTGTAATTTTATTAACCTATTTCTGACCCATCCTAGCCACTTTAGAGGTTATTGATCCAGTTCTGAGAAGCAGCTAAGGGAAGATTTAAAAATCTTTAATGTATTTCTTTCCTTTGTACTAAGCCACATTATTTAAAACAAGCCCCTTTCAAGAACACCATCCCATGCTTCAGGAAAGGAGAAAAAATATACCCCTGTATTTCCTCTAAAAGATAAATACATGGACTCACTGCAAGTGACAGCACCAAAGCTGTTTCTTAGGCTGATGAATAGAAAACATTTGTTGACTGAAGGCAGGCTTAGAGAAACAGATGAGATACATTTACAATTTCATTTGTCAGTAGAATTTTAAGCTCTGAGATTTGTCAACTAAAGAACAAAAGTGATTTGGGTTCAATTCCTTCTTCCTTTCTCCCATCTACATTCACCTTTTTGACACTGGAGTTGAAACTGTTTCCCAATTTACAAAATGAGGCCATGAGATTTCTAACTTCTCTTCTATGACGAAACTCTGTATTTATGGATGTAGACTGGAATTTTAATTCTCTTTCCTTAGAATCCCACCACATAAGCCCTTCTGAATAGACCCATACATTTACATTCAGAGGTCATTTTCTCAGACAATGACTTACTCACTGTGAAAACTTGGTGAACTTGAAAATGGATGCCAATAAAACCTTAAGGAGCCATCCTAACCACCTTGCCAGGAGGCCAAGGGTACTAAGGTCAAGATGAATATTAGCCCAGTAGGTTCACTCTCACTATTGTAATAACAGGAAAAGTGACCTTGAAGGACAACAAGTACAGAGAGAAGACACTAAATTACAAATTAACATTTTACAAGACTTGTTTAACAATACTTAATAATTCATTGATAAGGCCTATATCCTGGGAAGCAGTGGGAGGCGCACCCAAATTTCTTACAGGTCACATATTTTCTTCAAGTTCCCACTATAAATGTCATTTATTTAATGTATATTTTCTATACTACAAGCATACTGTCAACATGTAGCATGAGAGAAGATATATTTTACTTGTTTTATCAAACTCAGACATCAGCTTGAGAGAAATCTTAAGATAGAATTTGTTTCAGTGGGCACACTGCATCGTGAATTCACTAAGAAAAAGCTTTTACAGACTTCAATAACTAAACTCTTCAACTGAGGCGAGGCTGGAAATGAATCAAACTAAGCGCTCTCTCTCTTTTTTTTTTTTTAGCTGAAGCCCCCTGAAGCAGAAGTTAGATGAAGATGTTATTTCCCCTTGCAGTGAATATATGTTTTTGTGTTAGACAAGCCAAGGCTACCACCGTTGGAATACAGT